CCCCGAAGAGCAGGGCCACCCAGCAGAAGTCTCATGTGAGCCACACATGCCATCTAAGGAACATGAGGATAAGCCGGTGGACTTCATTTTGGTAACATCATTTATTTAGCCGATATACCCAAACATTACCACATCAACATGGGCTCGTTGTAAAGATCAATAGACGTATTTTACTTGCTCTTTTCCTTTGGAAGTCTTCAAAATCTGTTGTGTACCTGACACTTAGGGCATTTGTTCGTTTGCACCAGCCAGCCGTGGCCCTGGAGCCCTCGTTCCTCCCGGGAACCAATGTCACACCTCCCCTGGGCCCGGCCAGCAAAACCCCAGGCAAGGTGCCCGGGAACAGTCGGCCCCCTCCTCCGAGGATTCGCCAGTGGCTAATTTGGAAGCTTCGAGACTCTCATGACTCAGACAGCAGAGGTAAGTCACTCTGCCCCCTCGGATTGTCCAGGAACCGACGGCCTTTGCTGAGCCCCTGCTGCAGAGTTAGCCGCCAGCCCCAGGCGGCCACGTGAGCCAGGATTAGGGGCGGCCCCTATGCCTGGTCATGTCTGGGGCTGCACATGATGAGTGGGACTCAGCGTTGCTTGGCAGCGGGGTGGGGGTGGGGGCAGGTGTGCACAGAGCTGCAGTCCCCATGCCCCCTGCCAGTGGGTCCCACAGGGCTCAGGGCTCGGGCGAGGGGTGAGGCCATGGCTGGAGGGTGCGAGTGTTTGAGGGAAATCCCTCTCCTGCTCAGAACCCTCCCTGTCTTCTATGGGGCCCTCGGGGTCCCTGCGCCCCAGCTCTGCCCCCTCTTCTGGGCTTTGATCTTCCAGCCCTCTGGTTCACCCTCTTGCAGTCCCCGGAAAATACCATCCACTTTCTGGCCTCTGGGACTTGGCCTTGCTGTTCCCTCTGCCTGGGACCCCCTTCCCTGCGCTCACCCCAGGCTGGTCTGGGTCACCCGAATTCTCTCTTGGGTCTCATCTCATAGGTCACCCTGTCAGGAAGCCCCTGACAACAGTCCCAACCCAATTACTGTGCCTGTAAGAAATGCTCTGTCTTGCTCTGGGTCACTGGGGGCCCAAGTTTCTAACAAGCATCCCCGGAAGACAAGTTCACCCCCAGCTCTCATGTCGTGTCCCCCTACCCCAGGACGGAAGAGTTGAGGACACATTCACCCCCCTCCCCAAGCTCATTGCCCCCTAACAGAAGAGATGGGTCAAGAGGGGCCTGGCCATAAGCATCTCTCGCTAAATGGGGAAATAGGCCTGGGGTGGGCTCATGTTGCCAGAGGGTGGGGGCTGCCAGACATGAGGTGACACCATGTGTGGGTCTTGACTCCCTGAAGGGAGCAGAGCAACTGGCACCTAGGGGGCCTCAGGGCAAAGCCAGTGCAGCAGCAGCTTTAGAAAGATCTAGCTCATGTGGAGTGGTGAGCTCCCCGTCCCTAGAGGTGTACAAGCAACAGTACCAGGTGCTGGAAAAGGGATTGGAACCTTGCGCAGGGGTTCATTTGCCCATTGAGGGGTTTCCCTTCAGCTCTCAAGATCTAGGCACGGCCCAAGGTCACAGGCAAGGCCTGAAGGGGGCCGTCCCTCCGACCCAGGCCATCCCCCCACTTGGGGCCAATCATTAATTGGCACCGCTTGAGTGGCTGCTCCCACAAGTCCCCCGGCTGCCTGCCAGCTCATGGCCCGTCTCCCATCTCGTGCCCAGGGCAGCCGCATGCCTCTGACATGGGCTGGCTTTGCCACTCAGCCCCACTTCCTGCTCGTGACTCCCAGCCCCTGAGTTCTGGGAGGAGCAGGGGCCTGCTCAGACCACCATCATGGTGCCCACAGGACCCCGCAAGCCAGAGCCCTCCTGGCTGACATGGGAGCTGGGCCTTCCTTCACAGGGGCCAGCCTGGAGCCAAGGAGGGCTTCGAGCAGGGCAAGAGGCCTCAGCCCAGGTGGTAGGGAGCCGGCCCCTCCCACCCCCGGGGCAGAGTGAAGGGAGCGCTGAGGCAGCTGCTGAGCTGGCCCCGGGCTGAGAGACTCAGATGAAGCTCCAGGATGTGTCTGACCTGGCTGTGGACAGGAAGAGCCAGGGAGGGGTGAGATTTCCTTCTCCAGAGAAATCAGATGTGAATAAGCAGAGCAGAGGGGAAGATCCTCCCAGGGTTACAGGCAGTGGGGGCAAAGTCCCAGAGGAGGAAAGGGTTGGCATGCTCTGGGAAGAGGAAGAAGTCAGCCAGGGTGAAGCTCTGGTTTCCAGAGGGGATGAAGAGAGGTGGGGGTGATGTATGACAGGGATTACCCAGACTCCAAGCTAAGGAGTTAACTTTATCCTGGAGCAATAGGGAGCTACTGCAGGTTTTGGAGGAAGGGAGTGACATGGCATGACCAGGGCTGGAAGGGAGGCAGGGGGACGCACTGACAGCTGCCAGGGGAGGGCCAGAGAGGCAGGCCCTGCAGGGGCTGTGGGGCAGGGTGGAGGGATGGACAGGGAAACACCAGGTTTCTGCTGAGGCAACAGGTGCTCAGGTCAGGGGGAAGGCCAAGAACAGCAGATTTAAGCAACAAGATGCTGAGCATGTTGAGCCAGAGGTTCCCAGGGAGTGACCACACCGGTCTTGGTCCCAGGGGAGAAAAGATTGGGGCAGGGCTCAGGGCTCAGGAGACCCAGCCAGAGAGACAAGAGGAAGCCCAGGTGAGCTGGGGCCCCGGCAAGGAAGAGGGGGCATCAGTCGGCCACATGAAGGTCATTAACGGCCTGGACAGGGGTGGCGGGAACAAGAAGGTGAGGGATGGGGGGGTATTGGGTGCAGACAGCTCTGCCAAAAAGTTTGCCTCTGAAATGCTCATGGAAGGGAGAGGAGGTGCCTTAGGTGGGCTCCCTAGAAGCAGAGCCTGAGACGCCTATTCTCAAGGGGAGCTCAGGGCATGCAGAGCACTGCAGAGCACCCCCACCCACAAGGGCAGAGTTCACACCCCCTGCATCGGTCTGTCCGTGGCTGTAGCCGACCCTCCCTGCGGGCCAAGCTTGCAGACCCTCCCGGGCTCCTGCTGGGCCGAGGGTTAGTCTCCAAGGAGGAACAGCTGTGAGCTGTTAGCCGTGATCCAGGGGATATGTGACGGCCAGTAAAGGTAATCTGGGTGGGCCCTGGTTGTGTCCACTACGGGGGGACGGCGCGGGTCATGGGCTGGGGCCAAAGCCACTCCTCTTGGGCTTTTTATTGGCATTTATTATGGACCACCGGTGAAGCACCCCCCAACCTGGGACCTGACCCTGAGAAGGGGCTCTGAGTGGCCGCGTCTCCCTCACTCCCTGTGTCTCGTGGTCCCGAATAAAGTCCGAGCCCCCACCCCTCTGCAAGCCATGGGACCATGTCCACTGCCCGTCTCTCTGCACAGTAAAGAAGCAAAGCGAACAGGCAGGGTGGCAGGTGCGGACCTGGATCTGAACCCAGCTCCGTCACGGCAAACCTTGTGGCCGTAGGCAACCTCACCACTCAGCTGCGCCGCGGGGTGCTCACAGCAGCCTCAGAGCCCGGAGTCTCAGGCGTGAGGGGCCAGGGAGGCAAGCGGACCCCTGGCAGCGAGCAGGCCCCCGGCGCCGAAGGCCTCCCACCCATGGAGGATGGGGCAGGCGGCCCCGCCCTCCCCAGCTGGCACCTGCAGGGAGGGAGCTGCACTTGGGTGGTGGGGCCCCAGGGAGGGGGTGGTGCCACCCTCCCGCCTGTGCCAGGTGCCACCCACAGGCTGCTCACCGCAAAGGGGCCCCAGGGGCTTTCCCCTGCGCCACCCCCAGCCCTATGCCAGGCGTTCCAAGCCCCGCAGAGCTTGGCTCTGGCCTGGGTCCCGGCAGCTGCGGCTCCTTGGCCCGCTGGGATCGGAAGGATGTGTTGTGCCTACAGGCTGGGGTCTGAAATAACAGGGCACCCCTGCATGCCTGGCGTGGTGCCCCCAAGTTATCACGCCCCCATCTGACCCTCCTGGAAGGGCAGGTTGCATCACCTCCCCACCCTCACCAGTTCAACAGCAGTTTATGCGTACCTACTGCGTGCAGGCCCGGGAGAAGCACTAGGGACCCAGATGAGGGCCCGCTTGCTCAGAGCTCATGTTACAACTGAAGACACTGAGACCCTGCGTGGCCCCAAGTGCCATGCCCAGGGTCACACAGCTGGATTCCAATCGAGGTCAGGCTCTGGAAGTCCCTCTTTTCCCTGTAAGCTCCCCCCCAAATGGGCCTCAGTCTCCTTCCCTGTAAAATGGGCACCACGGAGCCTCCCTCGGGGCTGTGTGAGGACATGGAGATGGAGCATGTGACCTAGGGACGGTGTATGGTGCAGCGGGACACAGCCTGCAGAGACCTGGCCACCCCTGCTTGGCATCCTTCGGTAGCTGCCACTGCCCATAGCACTGGAGGCCCACCACCCTCCCCAGCCCAACTCCACCTGCATCCCCCCGCCCCCCCGCCCTGCCCGCCAGCCCGTCAGACGCCTCGGCGCTCCCACACATGTGTGCACAGCATCCCACGCGTCTCTGCTTGCACTCTCCTTCTGCCTGGAATGCCTTCCACATGAATGGCACCATTCGCCTCCAGCTCCCCCACCCCAAAACCCCATGCAGGAACTCTTGCTCTTATCCCGTTTCCAGATACAGAACGGAGGCAAGGAGAGAGGAAGAGGCGTGCCTAGTTCCGCACAGCCGTGGAGCAGGGCGCGTCTCTAACCGCTGCACGGTGCTGCCCGCCCATGGGCTCATGCCTCGCCAGAGCGCCGTCCTCCAGCCCCACGGCCCGGCGAGACACCCCTCGGCCACTCACACGGTTGGGTCTCCCTAGGGTGCCGGCCCCCCTCCAGGCCAGGCTCGGAGAAGGGCGCAGGGCAAGCTGCTCTAGCAAAGACACAGGCTGCTGCAGCCCAGGGAGCATGCGCAGCCCCACGCGGCCTTCCGTGGGGACGGGGGCGTGGCCTGGCCCCTGGAGCCCCGACCGAGGCTGGGTCCCTGCAAGCCCGGAGGCGCCCTTACCTACTCGGAGCTCTTGCCCGAAGACGGTCTTCTCGCCGAGGGCGGAGCAGTTCCAGCGTCCGAAGCGGAACTGGTACTGGCACTCATTGATGCCCATCTGCGCCCCCTCCCCGATCACGATGATGGCATCGGGCCGGCTCTGGCAGATGGCGCGCTGCCGCGGGGCCAAGCCAGGAATCTTGTTGCAGATGATGTTGGCTCCCAGGGCCACGACGGACGACAGTGCTCTGCGGAGAGGGGAGAGGACACGGGCAGGTGAGTGGCGGCGCAGGGCCCCTCGCCCTCTGCCTGCCGTCCTGCCTCGCTCGGTCTCTCGGTCAGGCAATGGGCTCCGGGCGGCCACCATGTACCAAGTTCTTCCTAGAGACTCCCTACAGAATCCATTTCCCATGGACCAAAACGCGTGATCCCAGCCTGAAAAGGCACTCACGCCCATGCCTTCTCACCCTCAGCATGGCCAGAGCCATGGGTCACAGGTCCCGGGAGTCAACGGTCCCACGGAATGCAAGCCCCAGCTCCCCGTGCCTCTGAATCAGACACACAGACCCTTCGGGCCAGAGAACCTCACGCCTGGGATTCGACAACCGTCAGCTCCGAACTGTCCGCAGCTACCCCCGAGAGCGCCCCCCATCTCCTGACCACTGGGCTTCCCCATCACTTGTAGCTCCTGGGCCGGGAAGGCTGCTGAGCTGGCTGGCCCTGCTGGGAGCCAAGCCCACAGGGTCCTGACTCCACGTGCAGCCCGTCTGTAATCTTGGGGAGGCGCTCTGCCTCTCTGAGCCTCAGTATTCACGTCCATGAAATGGGAGTATGAAACATCTGACCCCCCCCCACCCCATCACCACTTCCACCACATAGGCTCAGACCAGACAACTACAGGAAGAAAGGCTGCACCCATGGGGCAACTGCGGTTGTCATTCACTCGTTTCTGGACGACTGGGTAGACTGGGGGAGGAACCAGGAGCTGATGTGAATTGAGCACCTACTGTGTGCCGGGCTGGGCAGGGTCCTCTTTGCAACACTGTATCCTCAGAGTGGTCCCCTGGGGGCGCCGTGTAATTAATTTGGCGCCCTCCCAAGACCGGAGGGCACTTGCCAGGCTCACTCTGCTCACTTGAGGTGTCACCGGCGTGTTTATTTTCCGAGGGGACCTACCGTACAGGTAACCATTTTGAAGGGTACAGGTCTGCAGCACTTAGTCATGTTCCAAGATATTTTCACCATCCCCAAAATGAAACCCCATGCCCCTCAGCAGGCACTCCCTATTCTCTCCCCTCCCCCAGGCCCTGCAACCAGGAATCTGTGATTCTAGACTTTCCATAGAGATGCAGTCACATAATATGTGCCCTTCCGTGTCTGGCTGCTCTCACTTCGCATCATGTTTCCCAGGTTCGGCCACATTGTGACAGGTGTCCGTGCTTCCGTCCCTTCTGTGGCTGAGTAATATTCCATCGTGTGCAGGGACCACCTTCCGTGTATCCACTCACCAGTTAGCAGACATTGGGCACCCCCACCTCTGGGCACTTGTGAACAGATCTGTTACAAACACGGACGTATAAGGTTTTGTTTGAGTCCCTGTATTCAGTTTTGGGGGGCATATTCCTAGGAGTGGAATTGCTGGGTCATGTGGCCGTTTGTTTAGCTTTTTAAGGAACCACCAAACTATTTTCCACAGAAGGGCCACGAGTTATTTGGTTTTGAGCTCCCAGAGGAGGGGGTGGACAGCAAGTAGGGAAGGAGGTGGGGGCTTGTTTGGGCAGACCTATGGGCAACAGCCGAGTTTCAGAGTGGCATCTGGCTTCCAAACCAGAGACCAGACTGGCTTAGTGAGGGACAAAGTGTGGGAATGAGGGAGACCACCAGGGGCTCCCCAAGCTGATGTCCACGGCCCTGGCCTCCCAGTGCCCTGAGTTCTCTCCTCCTGCCCACTGGCCGCCAGCCCCTTTCTTGAGACGAACAAGTCAGTGTTTTTCCAGGGCAGCCAAGCACCCACAGCCAGCTGGGAAAGTCCCCGTGTGGCGCGAGCCCACAGCACGTGCTGCAAGCTGGGCCCCCCGGCGACACTCAATCCCCAAGGCCTGCCCGCCCCACTCACTAATCTGGCCAAGACCCCCCTGGGTCTCCCACGGCACAATGGGCAGAAATGCCCGAGGCTGGCATGGAAGAAGAGCCTCTGGGCGGGCTGGGCTGGGAGCGGGCTGGAATCTGGGGAATTCAGCCCAAAGTAATTGTAGATGCTCAGAAAACCGACCCAGGGAACTGAGATGGATGGGAACCAGCCTCCAGGCCTCGGGACAGAGCCCGCTTTGGATCCCAGATGCTAAAAGCAAGCTCCCCGCTCCCAAATTCTTCCAGCAGTCTCCAGGCTGCAGAGCCCCCCACTGCTTGGGGTAAGAACCCTGTTGGGGGTAGGAGCTTGGACAAATGGGTTCTGAATGGGGGGACCCCAGGGGACTGAGGATGGACCCCAGGGGCCGAAACAGATCATTGCAGCCCTGGTCTCCTGCCTCCAGGCAGACTCCCAGCCCCCGCCAGCACCCAGGTCTGACCATGTCACTCCCCTGCTCAAAGCCCATCCATAGCTCCCCAGGCTCCTTGGTGTAGAATCAGAGGCCTCCCGGGATCTGGCCTCTGACCACCCTGCCACCTTTGCCTGTGCTGGTCCCTCTGCCTGGGATGCCGCTCGTTCTCCCTTTTTCTGTCCGGCAAACTCTACCTGCCTTGTGCCCAAGCGCAAGTCCCCTGAGCTCAAACCCCTTGGTCCCCAGGCACGGAGGAAGCACACGGTGGGCACCTGTCTCTCGAGTACCACCCTCACCACTGGGCTCTCACCATGGCCCTTTCCACAGCCTTCCCAGCAGACCACAAGCACCTGAGGGCAGGGCCAGGTCCCAACTAAATCTGGGGTTCCCGGGGCTGCCCCCTGTAGCTGCCCATGACCGTTCGTGGAATTGCTGAACAAATGAGTAAATACTCAAAGATAATGTCTGAAAGAGCTCCTGCCTCTTAATAACAAAAAGATAATCAATTTAAACATGGTCAAAGGACTTGAATAGGTATTTCTCCAAAGAGCCGTAAATGGCCAATGAGCAAGTGAAAAGATCCTAAATTCACTCATGAGGGAAACGCAAATCGAAACCAGTGAGGTGCCACCTCACACCTGCTAAGACGCCCCTGGTCAAAACAAGAGAAAGTGCCAGGTGTTGGCAGGCTGTGCGGAAATCGGAGCCCTCATGCATCGCCAACAGGAATGCGGGCAGCCACCACGGATGACAGTCAGGAAGTTCCTCAAAAAGTGAAACAGAATTACCACAGGTCCCAGCAATTCCACTCCTTGGTCTATGCCAGAACTGAAGACAGGTATTCAAACAAAGACTGTCCACAAGAGCCAGAAGGAGCAAAGACCCCGGATGTCCACCAGGGGCTGAATGGGCAGACAGACTGTGGTCTATCCATATGGTGGAATGCTACTTGGTCATAAGCAGGAATGAAGTATGGATCATGCTCCATGGAGGAACCTCAAAACTAGTACTCTGAGTACACAGACACACAGACCACACATTGTATGATGGCATTTGCATGAAGTGTCCGGCAAAGGACAGAAAGTGGACCCGCGGTCACCTGGGGCTGCAGGGAGGAGGCACGGGGAGCGCTGGCTTGGCAGGTGTGATGACAAAGTTATGGAGCCCAATAGAGGTGATCGGGCATGCACTTATACACCTCTGAGTGACACACTTTCAAATGGTTAAAGTGGCAAATTTTATGTGTATTTTAAACACAATTTTTATTTTATTT